CTAGGCACTAATCTACTCTATTAATTTCTGGGCCAGCATGTCATTTTAATTATTTCTTTTTAAAATTTTTCGATGTTTGGTTTTAGTACAGTGGAACCACCCATCCATGTTTTTAGAATATTTCTTGATACTCTCATTCATGTTTTTTTATCCTATATGAACTTTAAAATGACTTTTGTTGAGGTTTAAGTAAATCAACTCTGAGGAGGTTTTGATTGAGAATGTAATATATTTGTACATTAGCTTAGGAATTTGATTGTTTTGTAATATATATTATTCCCATTCTGGAATTTGGAATGTCTGCTGCTAATCTATTTTAAAAATTAAAGCCAAATCGAACCAAAGGTTTGAATGCCAAATAGTAAACACTAATCCAGTGTTTCTCAGTTTTCTTATAGTGTTCACACATAACTTTGTATTTTGTACTATTATCATATTATGAAATACTACTTATTTTAAGGTGCTAAAGTCTGTAGCAGTTTGGAAAGGAGTGGCTGGGTATCATGAGTCACCATCATGCATTTCTAGAGACTCTTAAAGCTAGGAAGTTTCTTGCAGATGTTGTGTGGTATGATGACCTTTTTTGAAGTGGTCTTCAGAATGCGTAGGTTCAGCTAAAAGATATATAATACATAATGCTGAGTGTGACCTAGGTGAACCTTACCAAAATATGAATGAAAGCTTTAATTTTCTGGTATGAAGTTCAATAGAATGGGATTTTACTTCCCATTCCTGAGCAATTTTTTATTGTCTCAACATTAACTATTTCACAATGGTTTGACAATTAATACTATGAGTTGGCTTAAAATACATTTGTATGTCATCCTTTTCAGGTGGTGTTTCTTTTGTTGAAGTAATTGTTTTCTTTTTCCTTCTGACAGAGATCTATTCGATCTTTTGCCAATGATGATCGCCATGTTATGGTGAAACATTCAACAATCTATCCATCTCCGGAGGAACTTGAAGCTGTTCAGAATATGGTGTCCACTGTTGAATGCGCTCTTAAACATGTCTCAGATTGGTTGGATGAAACAAATAAAGGCACAAAAACAGAGGGTGAGACAGAAGGGAAGAAAGATGAGGCCGGAGAAAACTATTCCAAGTGAGTGTGGACTGGCCTCTGTGATGCTGTACTACAGTGCAGAGCAAAGCTTGAGGGTCCTGCTGGATTGAGTTTGTGATATGATATTTTTTTGGGTCTTCTCAATTAATGACTACAACCAAAGAAGTAAATGCTGTGTGGAATATTTCTGAGTTAAATGTGAAAGGAAAGCAAGAAAGGAATAATGATTAGAGCCAGAAAAAGAAGACAGAACTATTTAGGATTTCTTTTGAGAGTATATCAAGTCCTTTAAAATCTTTATGTTTGAAGGTTATGATGTAAGATCTTTTTCCTGTGTTGGTTCAGCTTTCTAGATTTTGAAATAAATAACAGTGTTTTTGATCTCTGGGGAGATGATAAGATACCATTTTTTGTCGGGCATTTAAAAATCCTAATATAGAAAAAAGAGTGTGGGAAATGTAAAGGTTTTTTTTGGTTTGTTTTGCTAAATTTTTGCAAAATTCATTCTATTTCTAGGCACTAATCTACTCTATTAATTTCTGGGCCAGCATGTCATTTTAATTATTTCTTTTTAAAATTTTTCGATGTTTGGTTTTAGTACAGTGGAACCACCCATCCATGTTTTTAGAATATTTCTTGATACTCTCATTCATGTTTTTTATCCTATATGAACTTTAAAATGACTTTTGTTGAGGTTTAAGTAAATCTCTTTTGTTGAGGTTTAAGTTTTGTATTCTGCCTTGTTGGTTCCAGGAATTTAGCACAATGTCTTGCATGTTGTAAATGCTCATTGTATATTTGTCAAATGGATGAAGGTCTAAATGGAGCCAGACTCTACAATTATAGTAGTGTATTCTAAGTACTGTGACAATAGTAGAGATTAATGAGATGAAGCTGAAATGGTAACTTGAGTCAGATCAAGAACCTTTTTATGCTATGCTAAGCTTAGAGTTATTGTTTTGAGCAGTTGTCACTATGGTTGGAATAAATGTATAACTTTGAAAGATGGAGCTATGATATATATATATATACACTCACGTATATATGAGATATATATGTCTGTCATAAGGCTTGCTATTTTTTTTTTTTTTTTTTTTACCCATTTTTAATACATTTTCTTGTGATGTTTCTTCTCAAGTCTGGCGTACTTTTGGAAAGTATTCCTATATTCCTATAGACTTGATTAACTGGCTAAGGTCACTGTATTTTAAAGGTTTTTTTAAAGGATAATATGCTCTACACTTTCGTTTGGATTTTTAAATATAGCTCTATGTGTGGATGCTGTTGATTGTCTATGTAAAGTCTTTCCATTATGTGGAACAGTCCCTGGTTGAGCACTTGCCTATGATCCTTCCCATATAGTGGAACTCAAGGAGTATAGAATGATTCTTATCTTGTATAAAACAGAGGCAGACATGTCTTCCAAGAACAGAGTTGTGTTCTGGTAATAGACATATGTTGTTCTAAAAGGCTCAAAGATGAGCGAGGGCTACCTTGTATTTATTAAGCACTTTCTATTGCCAGGTACTATAAGGCAACTTTTACCTTTGCTCTCTTATTTTAACCTATTATTTTACCTTTTTACAAACTGACTCAAAAGTCAGATAAACTGTACAAGGTCCTACAATTTGTGTTATTAGGAATGTTAGGACTTTGTTTTTAATTTTAAGTAATTCACATATAGTAAATTAAAATACATTGGGTCCTTGCTTTACAATACCTGCTGTATTCAAATTTATTATTCAAATTCAGGACTGTTTGAATTAGGACTTAGTTTCTCTGATCAATCATGCTGTCTTTACATGTGGGGTGTTAAGAATCTAGCTAAATCAAGATTCTGCTGGAGTCAAATTTTCAGGTTGCCTTGCTCGACATTTATAATTTGGACCAGTGCCTTTTCTGAACTTGGGAAGCAACCATATGGTGTAAAGAATCTGATTGTTGTGGTCACACCAACTTGGGTTCGAATCTAGGCTTTACTTTCTCTGTGAACTTGAACAATTATGATTTAGAATTTAATAACTGAGCTAATAATAGCTACCATTTATTGAGTGCCAGCTACTGTACCAGATTATTTTTCACATTATCTTCCAACAAACCTACTAATCTCTATTATTATTGCTCCCCTTTTCCCACCCCCATTTTACTTATGAAATTTCCTCTGTTCCAAATTTACGTATGAAAAAAGGGGTGATTTAGAATCATTAATGAACTTTAACTTGCTTAAGGTCACTGAGTAATTATGCGTGGTGGAGCCAGGATTCATATTCATGTCTGTCTATCTCCAGATCGAGTTTTCTTAGCATCTGTGCTTCAATTTCCTGTGAATAAAATGTGTAAGTACAGAGCAGAGAGAAATAATATACTGGTTCTGGGAATCAGAAAAAGCTTTATGAAAGAGGTAGCATTTGGAATAGGCTTAGAGGATGGGTGGGTAGGATTTTGGCAGGCAGTCAAAGTGGAAGAAAAAGTAAATCTCAGCAAAGATCTAGGTGTGAGAAGGTATAGGGTCAGTTTAAGGAATAATAGCTATTTATTGTGCTATTAATATCTGTTGGGCTCTGGGCAAAGTTCATTACTTAAATTATATTCTTAGTACCACTCTGTGAGAAAGGTATTATTCATATTTTACAAATGAGGAAGCAGCTTCAAAGAAGTCAAGTAATTTGTAATTTGTGCAATGTCACATAGTAAGTGGCAGAGCCAGTATTTGAACCAGAAAGTCATGTCACCTTCTAAATTGCCTTCCACTATGGTAAGTGTCTAAGTGTTTAGTGGGACACCAAGGAAAATAGTAGGTGGAGTGCCATCTAGGCAGTGCCTTTGGAAGATTATTCCAATTGTAGTATACTGTATACAGTGTGTTGGAGATAACAGAGTTTGGTCAATAAGGCCAATGAGGAGAAGGTTATTGAGGTCATCTGCTTGAAAGATAATAAGAGCCTGCAGAAACTGGTTTGAAGGCAGTGGTATAAGGGTGATTGTGAAGGAGGAATTTATTAATATAAACCATTACAGTGTACTAGATTTGAGAGGATGAGAGGACAGGGAAACAGAGGAAGAGAGAATCAGAGATGACTGGCTTTATTCTTAATATCAGACAATTGGCTACATGGACATATACCATCTTTATAGTTTTTGATTAATGTTTATTGAATCCCTGAGGTGTGCCAGCCACTGAACCTGTGGCTGGATTATTTATAACTTCCTGTTTAGTTTTCACTGCCACAATTTGTTTCTCTTTTTCTCTACTTGATTCTCAACTTTGCTGATCATTGCCCAACTCTGCTGATTCTTTGCTTCCAGCTAGAATGACCTTCTTCCATCTAGCTAAATCAAGACTCTGCTGAAGTCAAATTTTCAAGTTGCCTTGCTTGACATCTCTAATTTGTACCACTGCCTTTTCTAAACTTGGGAAGCAACCACATGGTGTAAAGAACCTGAGTGTTGTGGTCAAACCAACTTGGGTTTGAATCTAGGCTTTACTTTCTTTGTGAACTTGAACAGTTAACTTTTCTGAAGTTCATATTTCTTGTCTTCCAAGTGGAGGCTTGTTGTGAGGTTTTTAAATGAGAATATGTGGCACACAGTTTGTTCTCAGATGTTACTTTCTCTTCCCCTTTTATGCAGGGTACATAAACTGTTACTGCTTTTGTTGCTTAACTACAGTGTAAGCTGCAGGAGAGACTGTATCTCCTTTGGTATGATTTTCATACTCAAACACTTGCTTACTTGTTGAATGACTGCTAAGCTTAATTAATATTTTTACTTGTGATTAGAGGAGATGAACCAATAAGAAATTTTCAGAATTAAAATCAAGGGTAGATAAACATTTTTCTCATGCACCATTCACAATTTGGTGTTGAGTGTTTGCTCTTTTAGCTACTCCTGGATTTAGGATCCATGTACTGGCAGTTTATCTTTGGTCTGATCTTTCCTTCCTCAGCTCTTTAGTCACATTTTTCTGCTTTCCCCATAAGCTTTTGTGGATTCCTAGAATGATAAAACTAGGAGTTTATCATTCTTAGAATGATAAAACTAGATGACCTTAGCTCATCTAGCTGATCGCCATTTTACCATTGTGAATACTGAGCCAGCAGGCACCGCTATTAGTAGAATCCAGGTCATTTAGATTTTTACCCTGATGCTCTTTCTCAGTATACCATGGTGTTCATGTTTCTCACAAATTTTTAAATTACTACTAAAAACATTACAGCAGAGAAAAGGATAATTTGAAACAATGTTAAAGGGGATATATTTTGATTTTCTTCAGCAATATAGATGTAGTTAAAAATTTAAAGATCTATAGTCTGAAATATACCCCCTATTGAATCTTTGGGGGATGATAGATGCTTTATGATCCTTAAATTGGAGACTTAATTCTGTAGAATTTTAAATATCTAGATTTATAATACTCTCTTAACAATTAATATGGTTATCCGGGAAGCCAGGTGATGATTAAGTTATAATTTGGGGAAATATGTTATAAAAGTAATCATGCAGACTTTTATTTTTAGGGATCAAGGTGGTCGGACATTGTGTGGTGTAATGAGGATTGGCCTGGTTGCAAAAGGCTTGCTGATTAAAGATGATATGGACTTGGAGCTGGTTTTAATGTGCAAAGACAAACCCACAGAGACCCTGTTAAATACAGTCAAAGATAACCTTCCTATTCAGATTCAGGTGAGTATAGTGTAACTGAACCTCTAGGTGAATTTGTGAAAAAGTGTGAAAATAGGTAGTGACCTTGAATTTATTAACAAGAATTGGTAATAGTAAGGGTAGGCACAGACAAAAGGAATACTGCTGCTCTGGGTCAGTGACTAATCAATCACATTTCAAGGAAACTTCTGGCGATCAGTACTCAGGATATATTTATCAAGTTAATGTGGCCATTAAGGTAGTCTTAAATTTTTCAGATGTATCTTGCTGAGAGTCTTGATTTTTTTTCCAGACTAGGTTTCTCACCATTATGAAACTCTTGGAAGGGTTGATAAAATGCAGAAAAGAATTGAAAGATCAAAAAGGGCCTAAACAACTAGAGACTTTCATAAATGATAACTTTTAAAATTGAAGACTCAGTTAATTTGTCATCTATTCATTCTGTTAATGGAAAGTCACTATTTCCTTGTCTCCAAACCTTTTTCACATTGGGATGCATTTAGAAAAATTTAATGTTGGCATGCTCCCAGGAGGATGCTGCTGAAGGCCGAAGGCTTCCAGGGTTGAAGGCAACCAGTCTGGGGCTCTGGTTGCTCTAGGACCTGCCCTGTCAGCCTATGCTAAGGGCCAGTTGCATCACTGATGGGGAATCTGTTATCATCTTCCAATTTCAGATATGTGTTATCTGTGGTCTAATTAGATTACAGCTTTTTTGATAATTTCATGTCAGTTTGTCTTCATATCCATGTCACAGAAATAGATGTCAGTCCACAGGTCAAAATTTGTGAGTTGTTGAATGCTCCCTTTTATTTGTATATCTTCTAAAGGGGGTCTTTTTTTTTTTTTAAGAAATGTGAATTCTAAATTTGTTTTATTAGCTTTGTTACTAGACAATTTTCTTTCATATCTACCAGCTGACCTTTAAACCTTCTCTCTGATTTTTTTTTATCTATTGTTCTTGATGCTCAAATTTCTGTTGACACATTCTTCTGTATTAATTTTTTTGGCACTATTTTATTATAAATCTTAAAATGTGGTTTTCTAAGTGACAGAACATATTTGCCTTTTCCACTTTCAGTTTTGATGGCGAAATGTTTTCTGGTCTTTCATAGGGTTAAATTTCTTTTTTTACAATCCCTTTGTGATCATTTGGGGAAGTAGAGTGGTAAGCAACATGGAATATCATAAAGCTTTATGAAATAAAAAGCTTAGTAACCAGATTTCTGGCTAACTATACCTTTTGCTTATTCGAATATTAATAGAATTCCTCTTCATTATTTTTTGTATTGTTTTAAAATTTAATCTGTTTTTGCTTTTAGTATAGTGAACATTGTTACTCTTGAATCTATAATAAAGTCATAATCAAAGGATCAGACATATTACAGGCTTTTTCAACTATCTCACCCCTTTCTGTTCCTTTAGTGAGTCATGTTTCTTGTGAGAATGGTCATATTCCTCATCCTCAGGTGTGTCAGGGTGGAAAAAGGGTTAAGAACCAGTGCTATAATAAATCCGTTCTTATTCTGAAAATCTATCATCTCTCTCCAGTTTTGAAGATACAGAAGATTGGACCAAACTTCAATTGGTATTAAAAGAGCTTTCTTTGTGCAGATCACAACTGTGTGAGCTTAACATTATTATTCTCTTGAGTGAGGGTCTTTATTTCTGGGCACCACAGTTTTAAAATGTTTTTGTCTGGCCTAGCAAGTATTCAAGGGAGGGATCCAGGAGAGAGTGCAGGTTGTATGAACCATCTCAGATTTGAGGAGACTGAGGCTTTTTAGGGTAGAGAAGAAAAGACTCAAAAAGATATAAATATCTTTAGATCTTTGAAACACTGACTTGGAGAAGGTAAGACAGATGTGAACTCTTAAGACCAATGGTGGAGATTATGAGAAATGTATCTCAATTTAACCCAGCCAGTAGAGTTCTCCAGCAGTGAATCTGTATTTGGGTAAAGGTACATTTCTCTGTAAACTGGGGATGATAATCGTATACCAATTTCAGGTTAAAGTATATGTATGTACACACATGCCCACATATATACACACAAGCACACATGCATTATTATTCCTAATATTTCAGGAAATTATTTGAAACATGACTTCTAGATTTATATCCCTTCTCCCCCATTTTCTTGGTGTTTGTATGTAAAACTAGTCCCTGATATGATCTCATTCTCTTTTCTTTTCTTTTCTTTTTTTTTTTTTTGAGCCAGAGTCTCACCGTGTTGCCTGGGCTAGAGTGCCGTGGCGTTAGCCTAGCTCACAGCAACCTGAATCTCCTGGTCTCAAGCAATCCTTCTGCCTCAGCCTCCCAAGTAGCTGGGACTACAGGCATGTGCCATCATGCCCGGCTAATTTTTTCTATATATTTTTAGTTGTCCAGATAATTTCTTTCTATTTTTAGTAGAGACGGGGTCTCGCTCTTGCTCAGCTGGTTTCGAACTCCTGAGCTCAAACAATCCGCCCGCCTCGGCCTCCCAGAGTGCTAGGATTACAGGGGTGAGCCACCGCGCCTGGCCATGATCTCATTTTCTTATAGATTAAAAATATTTTTCCCGAGCACTTACCATAGCAAAACTTTGTTATTTAAGTACCTTAATTAATTGAGGTTGTACCATACCTTTTCTCTCCATATTCTTTTCTAGGGTGATTTTAGAACTTCTTTGAGCAAAGGAGGATGAGGATAATCCAAATCAGAAATCACTTAAAATTAGTCTAATCCAAATCACATACCATATGTTTATTACTTTGCGTGTTTCTTATGGTAATCTGCATGCATAATTGAAACATTTAGTTTGATTTATTCTCTGATAGATGTCTTTAATGCTCTTTCAGTGGCAAAATGAACATGATCAGTTTTCTGCTGTTTCTTTATATTCCGGTTCTGGTTCTGGTTCTTCCATCTACAGTGTGGCTTTTCCCTTCCTTGGCTTCCTCTATTTAAAAGAGGATAATGAATTTTCTCTTTCCTACCTTTTGGGATTGTTTAATGGTAAAACGCTATTTTTATGTAAATGACTTTTGAGTTCTTTTAGTACACACTGATGAGCAGAGACCTAGTAGTGTCTCCTGCTGTAATAGCCTGGCTCTTTTATGTCGAGTAATAGGTACTAAATTTCACCACCAAGAAAAAAGACTCTGTAACGTATTAAATCATACATTTAATGTATAAAAATATATTAAATATAACAAAATAGCCTGGCTCTTTTATGTCGAGTAATAGGTACTAAATTTCACCACCAAGAAAAAAGACTCTGTAACGTATTAAATTATACATTTAATGTATAAAAATAGTATGTAAGTTGGTATTGTCCCTGGGGATTTCTTATAACATTTATTAATGTAATAATTACTAGCATTCCCACAGTTGGAATTACAATCAGTCTGGGACATTTATGTAATTTGTTTGACTTTGACATGACCTTGGAGTGTGCATGTCCCAGTTCCATCTTGTTCACCTGGCCTATGTATGAAATATTAATAGTTATCAAATGCTTCCTGTGCCCCAGCAGATATGCTGCTAGACACTAAGGCATCCAGGACTTAATGTACTCTATTTTTTAGAGCTTTCAATCTAGCAGTGTGTCTGTCTCCTAAGTTTTGCCGTTACTTAAGCACAGTTGGAGATTAATATTTCTCCTTACCCTTGCTTGACCAGATCCAACTCATTCTTAGAGGCCAGTGATATGAAGTGAACCTTCCTTGATTACCCAAGCTATTATAAAAGTGGTTTCTCTGCTCTCTCAACTCCTGTTGTGCTTATTTTCTTTAACCACTAATTTGGCAATTAATCATGTTAATTACTTTGTGTCTTGTATCTATTGTTGTCTTGAATTGTTATTTAAATTGTGTCTTGTTTGACTTTCCATGGTTTGATTTTTGTCTTCCGATTACAGTGCAAGGTCTTGAGAATAGATACTCCTTCCTACAACTCTTATAGCAGTGATCTCCAAACTTTTTTTTTGTTATGCACTCTGTCTTAGTCTGTTTGGGCTGCTATAACAAAATACCTTAGATGGGGTAATTTGTAAACAACAGAGATTTATTGCTCACAGTTCTAGAGGCTGAAAAGTTTAAGATTGTAGCTCCAGCAGATTCAGTGTCTGGTGAGGGCCTGTTCCTCATAGATGGTGCCTTCTGTGTGTCCTCACACGGCAGAAGGGCAAAGGAACAAACAAGCTGCCTCAGGCATTTTTATAAGGCCACTAGTCTGATTCACAAGGGCTCTGCCCTCATGACCTAGTCAGCTCCCAAAGGCCCTACCTCTTAATACCAGCACATTGGGGATTAGATTTCAAAATA